CTAATTCACAGAGCAGCAAGTTAACTCAAACCACCTATTTCCGCTCCTGGAGGAACACAAACACCACTCCCCTCCTGCTACAGAAGTGATAACTTCTGAAGTTAGTGTACCTTGAATCATGAGCATCATAGCCCCCTGTATCACACATCTAAGCATGCTCATGTTCTCATACTCATGTTTTAGTGTAGGGGTATCCCCAAGAAAACTTGCAGTTAGAACCCATCCCTTTAAAATATTGCAGGAAGAAAATGAACTATGCAGCTATATCAGCAATTTTATATTCTGTCTCCCTGTGTGAGAGAACTTTTGTGTTGCAGGTATCCTTGTTGCCTCCACATTATTCTTTTCATTATGGTGTGGATTGTACATAGTAGGAAACTGTTGACAAGACCTGGCTGGACCACCTTGGAAGATGGAGAAGATCGCACAATCCCCAGTGAAAGGAAGCAGCGCAAGTTTCTCCACAGTGCTTGGACATGAGCATGTCCAAAGCTTCATTTCAGAGAATAATTATGTGCTCAAATGTGACCATTTCTTACTTGAACAAGTCACTTGCCACTTGAACAACAGTGTCTGCTTTCGGCACAGGATGTGCATGTCCCAGAGTTTAATCAGGGAAAGTCACATCACCGTCAGTGTGGTCTATTGCCATTTGAAAATGTCAGGGGGTTTGCAAACATGCTAGTCGAGAGGTCCCCCTTCTTTTCATTCAGCTGCTTTTCCTGGTACCAAGGGAGCTGAAAAAATGTGTGATGCAGCTTTGGTTATGACAGCTTGAGACAGAGATGTTCCAAGAAATCTAGACACTGCGTCCTTATAAGTAACATACTCTACATGGTTTCAAGAGAACCTAAACCAACAACCATATGCCATTTGATAATATGAATAGAAATGGTTAATTAAATACTAATGACTAGGCTTTTTATGACAGCAGTGATTAAGAGTGATTACAGTAACTTTTTTCTTTTCATTTACTGATGGTGTCACTCTTTTAATTATTGTTTATCTTACTTTTCTATGTGGCTGCAGAGAGATTTAATATTTTATTAAAATAAAGGTTTCATAAGAATATGTTAATAACGAAAAATTTCTTGGTTTTTACAAACGGATGTACATAAAAACAAACACTGTTTATACATTGAATCTAATCTGTGCCTCTGGAAGTAGCTAAGATACATAAGTTTCTGTTCTATTCTTCATTAAAATAAGGGGTTTTTTGCTCATCTTTCTGTGGTTTCCTCTTTGTCATAACAAGGATGTGGGTCTTGGTATAGCTTTTAGACTTAATGACTTTTTGTGAAATTAGTGGCTCACTTTCAATGCACATGTTTCAATGCTTTGAAGCCACCTGTGAATTAAATTACAGTTAAATTTAACCTACTTGTTAGATATTGATTATTAAATGTTATTAGTCAACACAAAAAGAACATCATCAGATGGTTGTGGGGTCATAAACATACTGGTAGTCTGGACCATTTGCCAGATTATTAATGAGATGAGGTTAAATTTTGGAAACTAGTAAATCATAATTAAAAGATGTAACAGACTTAATAAAATTACTTGGTGTAATTTGTCTGACTACAGTGAACTGACCTATTCAGACTTCAAAACAGTCTTCTGAGTTTATCTTTCTCTTTGGCAAGTATCCAAGAAAATTATCTTGAAAATCTGATGGCTTACTTTGTTTTAATTCTGTTTTCTAAATGTTTCTTCCTGATGCCAGACTGAGTTGCCCAAAAGGTAGGTTTCTTTTACAGCTTGCTAGGTGGCGGGCAGTTCTGTAGTCAGAAGACAAAACAAAAACTTTTACTAGAAGCTGTGGAGGCAATCCATGCTCCAAGCATATCACCACACTTTCAGGGAGCAACAGTTGTTGACAATAGATAATGCTACCCTCTGTACTGAGAAATAGAACTGTGTTTAAAAGAAAAAAAGATTCTCACATTGAACATACAGTGCATGAGACATACAACCAAAACAAGTACAAAACACCAGCCACTATTGCCCAGTACACAGGCAGGAGGAACATAAGGACTAAGGCTAACTGGCATCTGAATATCTCAGTGATGTGTGAATATGAGGAGCCAGCCCCCTCTATTGGATAGAGAGCCATCAGCCATATGTAAGCACTGTATGCTCTACATCAGCACCACACATTGCACATCAGAGCCGTATGTCATGTCTTTGCATGGCCTGGTCAATCTTACGGGCTGCACTCTATGCCCAAATATGACTATATGACAGGCAATAAGCAAGTCAGACTTCTCAGCAAATAATCCTTCAGAAATATCACTTACCTGGAAGACTTCAGTAAAAACAGATAGATAGAAATTTCTGACAGAAAAGTCAACTCAGCAGACACCAAGATGCAAACTGCAAGCATAGACAGGAACCCAGTCCTGGCCAAGGGCAGAAGAATTCCCAGGGCAGGATTCCCTTAATCCACTCAGAAATTTCCATGAAAGATGTAAACAGATAGTATGAGAGAGCAGCTTTGACACAAGAATGCAGTATTTGGCAGCTGGGAGGTAATATGCAAGAGGACACCTCACAGGCACCTAGAGATTAGTGTTGAGGTGTGTCAGGTTAAAAGAGACAAGACTAGATTTCTTTTACTGAAGTAAAGTGGAATTCCAAATGCTATGCTGAAAACAATTGGAATTTATAGTAAACTCCACCACAAGCTGCTGAATATGAGCCCTTCTCAGTCTAGTAAGAATGTGTTTCTAGATTAATTTTGTCAAGCTTTGTGGGTGTCTGTTATTGTAAAACTGTAACGTCACCTTGTTTAACCCACATTCACGCTTTCCTGGACCTTTGCCTCTTGCCAGCTGCAGAACCAGTCTTCTTTCCACTGTGCGCTTTCAAGGGTGCTTACAAAATGCAGAATTGCAGGGCATTTTGCAGCCCTGCTGCAAAACCCCTACCATGCTCTCTGGCCCAGACTGCCTCTCACCCAGCAGGGCGGGTAGACAGGCACTCTCTCAACACAAAAGGATTTCAACGTTAGTAAAGATTTCTCTCCCATTGCACGTGGAGCGAATAAACATTCTTCTTGCCTCCGAGCGGACAGAAAATGAGTCAAGGTTACTGCTTGGCTCACTGCTCAGGTACCTCCCTGGGGACATGGCAAGGCAAGGCCGGGACATCGGCCCTGTTGGTAGGCCCAGCTCAGCAGGGCCCATGGCAGGGCAAGGCCAGGCAGAGGACCTGGAGGTCGGTCTTGCTGTGGCATTGCTGTGGCAGGGGCTGATGGCCCCAGGGGCTGACATGAGTCCCGGGCTGTGGCTGGGTGGGCAGGGGAGTCCTGGCAGGTAGGCAGGAGCAGTCAGGCCCAGTGGCACCCTGGGGGCCTGGCAGTAGTGTCCTTCCACCTGCTACCTGACTCATTAAAGAAAAAAAGATGCTGTAAATGAAGTAAAGTCATTACAGGAGATCACACACACAAAGCCCAATATCTGAACTGGAATTAACCTGCTGGGTTAGGGTTTCCAGACTCTATTACTCTATTTCCCATCAGTGACTGAGATGCAGACACTCTTCACATGCACAGAACGAGTGAAATCTTTGCCTCCAAGAGGTTAAACACCAATTAGTTGTCACTCAGCTGCAGGGTGTCAAAAGTCTCCTGTGGGATGGGCAGAAGAATATCCTTGCTGTCATTTACCTTACAAGGTAGAAGTGACAAATTTGTGTTTGCAGCATCCTCTGAGACCCCCAGCTGAAAAGTGTTAACAGCAGTACAGTATTCTTTACACTTTTGTATTGCTTCCCCTTTTTCTTCAAGTTTTCCTCAGCTTCTGTCTGCATTCCAGGTCTGAGCCAATTCTTACTAGCATCAATTAGGATCTCCCCATGACCTTCAGTGGGAATACACCACATAAACCACATGAGCAGGTTTTATTGCACCATGGCCAACTACCAGCTCAGCTCTGTGGTATCTGTTTGCTCCTTTATCTGCATGACCTTTATGAGACAGGGCTTGCTTTGCTCAGCACAGTGACATGGCTGCCAGTCACCAAGCAAGGCCAGAGTGCTGATGCTTTGGAGTTATTTATTCATGCCTCTGCAATGTCCCAAAGTTTACCGTATTTGGTACATATTAATGCAATAAGCAAAGCAGCAGAGAAATCCTGCAGATGGTCACTTCTGAACTGTTGGCAAAAAAAGACCTCAAGAGTATTTGGAAGATAATGGGAATACACGAAGATAACCACAGGCTTATTCAGAAACACAGCAGATCAACACAGCCTGTTGAAATCCATAGGAAAATTCCTGCTTGTTTTGACAAATGTTAGACAGGCACTGCATTAAAGAAGTATAACTACCGCCATTACAATCAGTATTTATACTTTTTTCAACAGACCATTCACTTAAAGGGTGAGATCATGAATCAAGCTGTGAGAGGAGATTATTTTGTTGATTTGATCACAAAAAAAATAGGGAAAATAATCTAGGAAAAAAGATTTTTTTTCTCTTTCACAATGGAAGATTAATTGGGAAAATGTTTATCTGTTTAATGCTTTAACTCTTTGAAAATTAATTAGTTAAATAAATATTCAGTAATGGAGAACTGAAGTATTAGGTTTTGAATAACATCACAGCAAAATATTTGAACACTTAAAGCTTTTGTTCTGTTTTTTTTTCTCATTTGGCAGACCTCTTATTCACTGTCAGTCTGAAATTGATTTTTTTTCTGTAAGTACATATTCATAAATGTTGCCTTATCCCAGGCTCAATGAATAAGGTAAGTAGTACTTTCCCATGACACTAAGAATTAGGGTGAAGTTCAATACAAATTTTGTTATCTAAGAGACAGTTTCCTACTAAAGATGAGTAAACATGTTGTAAAGGTGAATATTTTGAACTATTCTTATAAAGCTGTGGTGGTGTTGCTAAAGCTGTAAAGCTGGGAGGTACTTTTTAAAGGTGGCACACTAAAGCAGCAGCATCTAGTTCTAACATACAGCACAGTATTTATTAAAACTGTCTTGCCTGTCTCATGGATCTCTGTGAAGGGAAATATTTTGTTTGAACCAGTCAATATATTTTTCAGTCAGTCATGTATAAACTCCAGGCATGTCTCTTCTTCCACATCCTTTTCCAAACAAAACAATCCCACTGTAACGACCAGTGCAGATTAACGGCCCACCTGAATCTCCCTAGAACATAGAATAGAAGTAAGGATCAGTGTGTGTTTGTTGCTATCCAGAGAAACATGCAGTGCCACCTGCAGTGCATAAGCATGTTTGGAAAAGTTGCTTCCAGTCTGTTCCAACCTATGAAATACATCAGTTGGCTTATGTCACTTCATGGGAGACGGTCCTTTAAAGCCTGTGGGAGCTTGTCATGTAAATGTTGTAGACCAGCACAATGCTATCATAATTCTATTTCAAAATGTATTCTTTTATTGTTGGTATACATGGATACTCACTTCTTTAGCAATTAGCCCTTCTGTACTTGACACATCAAAAGCAAGATCCAAACAGCACTTTTGATTTGTACAGCTAATCTGAATAAGATGTTGCCATCAGGAAAGGATCAGATGATTCAGACCCTAAAAGTTCTTGTTTCTCTCCAATAACTGCAGATGGTGCCTAAGGAGACCACCTTAGCTAGCGAAATGCACCTGAGGATAACTGAGATAATCTCGGACTCAAACTGTCACTCTGAATCTTGTTGTGTACATTGACCTAAACTACTCAAAGTTTTAACACTTCTTTTTCACAACAATAAAGTATCTTATAAATGTGGTTGAAATCACTGTGAATCTGATCAGCCTCATTAAGTGTCTGACACTGCTTTGTTCCCAGTGAAAATAGAAACATTGCAAAAAGCACATCCCCTCCTCTTTGTAACTTTGCTTCTTACCTGGCAAGCATCTCCCTTCAAAATTTATATTTGCCTGCAGCACACAACATGTTGTTGGTTATGTTTGTGTAATTTCTCTGACAGCTTTTTCTACCAACAATTTTAAGAGTTGTTTTCCGAAGATATTTTGATGGCTTTCCTGAAGATGTGACTCCTCAGCCAGCCACCTTGCATGTTGTGCTAGGTTTGATACCTTCACAAGAGTCAGGCAGAGGCAAAAGTTGCACATATTTGTTCAGCTTTGCAATACCATTCAGCTGGAAAAAAAATTTTAAAAATTATTTCTCATGCAGAAAGGAAGGAAAGGATAATCTAGTTTCAACTGGCATTTAGTCTCATTTTACCAACACTTGCCTTATAAAAGACTTTCCAATATTTAGGAACTGATCCTGAGTTAACTGCCCCTTTGCAAATACAAAAGCATTTTCCTGGTGTCTGTATAGAAACTCCCTATGTATGGCAACAGTAGTGAGTTCAAGCCCAGCTTCCCATTGGTTACAGAAGGAAATTAAAAACCTGCATAGGAGTTAGGCTGTTGGATCTATGTCCTGTTCAAGAACCTAACTTGGGACTGAACTTCTGTGTTGAGATCAAACTCTCGTGCTTGACTGACACACAGAAAAGTCTCAAAGCATGGTGCAATGTACCCAGTAACAAAAATGAAAACAAAATCTATAACCAATGAGACATGGCAGCAACAACATAATTGGGGAAAAGTAAGGTCTTGAATGCTTCAGACTGGCAAGTTTTTGCTCTGAAAGATTCAAAAGGGCTTAAATTATCTAAACTGTGTTTTGTTGGCCTTTATCTGACAGATTCATCCTTCAGCACGTTTAAATTAAAGCCTGTAAATGAAAACATAGCCAAACACTAACACATACACTTAATGTGTTTGATAAGGACTCACAGCTACTGAACAGACATTTTCTCTTCATGCTGCACCATGACTCATTTCACAGGTGGTTATACATGTTGTTGAATGGTTGTCAGTTAAACAATTCTCACTTTATAACTTTTTAAAAAGGCACACCCACAAATTACAAGTTTATTAAAAAATTCCTTACAGTTTATTATGACCAGTGTTGGTAGGAATTTCCAAAGATGGAAAGTTTCTCTCAAGTCATTTAGTGCTCTATTACAGCAGAACTATAGAGACAGGAGGTGAGCCCTGATACTAACACTATCCCTGCTCCTGTGTCAAACAGAGACGAATGATTTTATGGCAACCATGTCATTCTGGATCAGAGTTGTAACTTTCAGCTCTAGAAATACTACTTCCTAGCAAACCATTTTGGTATTGTGTTCACAAAAAATGTGGTGCTCCTCATAAGTTGCCAGTGGACACAGGAGAAGCCAGTGAAATGAACCTGCCTGGCTTTGCAATGAAGCAGGTGGAGAATGCTCACTAACACCTGAGGGAAGGAGCTTCTCACCCTTGGGCTGTGATAAGTCACTGGGGACACAGATGTCTGTACATGCTTCAGCTAGTTCCAGAAGGGGACATTGCTAGTTTCCTTTCTATGTCACTGTCATACCAAACTGGTGACACCATCTAAATATTAGAAATAAGGTTTAAGTCATCACTTGTTTTTCTATATGATTCCACCAGTTATTTCAGAAGTGTGGTAATATTAATAATATACTGTACCTAGTTAATTATTTTAAATATACATATTGATCTTTTACATTAAACTATTTCTTCATTACCATGTGTGTAACATTAAAGCATAGCCTGATAAAAGATCCATCCAAGATTTCCTAGGCATCATACTGAAGTCATGATGTTTCTAAAGGCATAGGCAAGATGATGTACAAGTCTTATCTTTCTCAGAGACTTTGGAACAGCACTGAAACTGCTGGTATCAGGAAGGCAATCCTCCAGAACCATTTGACCACCTACAGATTTCCCACATAAAGACTGAACTCTCCCTGTTAAAAACACCCATAGCTGCCTCTGTATCAATCTCAGTGCTGGATTAACAGAGTTCTCAGTGCAGGGACACATGACACATGAGACAGGCTGAGCAGGAGCTGGTATGCAGGAAATTCTTAAAGCCTTGCAAGAATCTTACAAAGATTCTTACAGATCCTTTGGTATCTAGCATGATTATGTTGGCAAGAACATCTTTCCATGCTTCATTCTGCAGTGTCCTGAGCCTTCTTCACTATGTGACCACTCTGTGCTCCTAGAGCTGAATTCATCTATGTCCTATATTATCCATACTTTTACTTTACATGGTTACCTCAAATAATTAACAGTAAGTTTAATCCCCATTTTCCCTTAGTCCAGCACAAGATATTCCTCTGGAATACAGCTGTGACCCTGACTCCATTGCATATATCACTTCAGATCTGCCTTTGAAAAATTACTACAGAATGTGTTTGGGGATTTTGGAGGGGTTGCTGCAGTGAGTTGAAGGGAGTTTTAGAGCACAGAATGGGCTTGAAATGTCATCCTGGCTCACAGCGCCAATGATCCTGTAACCTTATCTAGATTAGCGCAGCCAAAAGCAGGATGTTCTGCAATAGTGTTGAGCTATCTAAACAATGTACTCTTTGATATCAAAGAACAGACAAAATTATTATGAGCAAAATATATTTTCTAATAATACAAAAGTAATTAACACATTACCTTGAGGAGCATTATATCATTTTCCTTGGAAGACCTGTCAAACTGAGGATAAGGAAAGTAGTGCATAACCTTAAATATCTTCTGTTCTTTTTCAGCTGTGGATGCTTGATGAGCTCCAAGAACAACTCTAACTTCTGAATTGTTTAATCTGCAATTTAAAGAAAGTACAGGGAGAAGAGTTCATTACTGGAACTGAGCAACATCTCTCAAGATAATCTAAAAACATGTAACTTAATACAACTCCATTTTACAGCAACATGATTAAAACATAGGGAAGGATATTGTTCATTTTGATGCTTTGACATGAGCTTGCATTTTCCTCTACAAAGTAACATTTCCTTATTGTAAAGCTAGTTTGGTGAAATAATGTTGTGATAGCTGACCTTCAGGGATTTCCAGAGCTTGAAGTTCATTTCATGAAAAAGCTGATTGGCTTTTTTAGTCCCTTGCACAGGGACTGCTGGTACTGATGCCTTTCATTAATCTTTTAATGGTGTCCCTTGGATTTACGACCTAATCTCACAAAGGACTGAAACATGCCTGACTAACAGCATATAGGCTGTCTTGCTGACATCAGTGGGGTCACAGAATCACAGAATCTTAGGAGTTGGAAGTGATCTTGAAAGATCATCCCCTGCCAGAGCAGGATCACCTAAACTAGGTCACACAGGAACACTTCCAGGTGGGTTTTTTAATGTCTCCAGAGAAGGAGACTCCACAACCTCTCTGGGCAGCCTGTTCAGTGCTCTGTCACCCTCACAGTGAAAAAGTTTTTCCTTATGTTCACATGAAGCCTCCTATGTTCCAGCTTGCTCCCATTGCCCCTTGTCCTATCATTGGACATCACAGAGAAGAGCCTGGCTCCTTCCTCCTGACACTCACCCTTTACAAATTTATAAACATGAATGAGGTCACCCCTCAGTCTCCTCTTCTCCAAGCTAAAGAGACCCAGCTCCATCAGCTGCTCCTCAGAAGGGAGATGCTCCACTCCCTCAATCATCTCTGTGGCTCTGTGCTGGACTCTTTCAAGCAGTTCCCTGTCCTTCTTGAACTGAGAGGCTCAGAACTGGACAAAATATTCCAAATGCGGTCTCACCAGGGCAGAGTAGAGGGGAAGGAGAACCTCTCTCGACCTACTAGCCACCCCCCTTCTGATACACCCCAGGATGCCATTGGCCTTCTTGGCCGCAACTGCACATTGGATGTCAGTATATGCATTGACACTTGATACTCATTCTGAGCATTACACATACAGGTAAGTGCTCTGGTCTGCTAAAGTGGACATCTTTAATGTTAATAAGAGTTTTGTCCTTAACTTACTAAATACAGGATTCAGCCCATTAAGGAAGAAAGATGGGTGTTGCCTAACTCAAGACATCCCTATAGTGAATATTAAAAGGGGAGACTGCCAAAACCCAAAGAAAGCTGTATGTCCAGTTCCTGCTAAGAAACAGTAAGAGTTAGGCAATCCATAGATCTCACTCTCCTCCTAGCATTTTAAGTACCATCAGAAATGTATTTATTAGAGTTTACCTTTCTCCATTTTTCCCTGCTAAACTTAATGCATCCCAGTAAGATAGTATTGCCAGAAGACATACTGCTGGTTTCCTGTGCTACATCTTCAGGATATAATCTTACTACACTGGAGGTTTCCAGACCAACAGAACAACTTATTTAATCCAGAGTGGGGACTTTATAAATATAAACAAAAAAAAAGTTATTTTCTTCATTCCAGCTGCATGTCTCACTGAAAGATACAATTCATTTATTTGTATATGAATGTTTGGCTGTGAAAATAGCTGCAAAGGCAGTACTGGATCCTAAATATTTCTCTTTCTATGTACAAAGTACGCTTACGCAATCAGAATGAGATAAGATTCAAAAAACTCCATGCCTGGGGCTCTTTCATGTATCATCCCTAACAGAGATGCAGCTGCTGGACTTGCAGAAAGCCCTGTCTCTGACAAGTTGTTCACAGACCACACAGAAATGCATGTTGCTGGATTCATGCTACTTTGCCTAAGACAAAAGTTATTTCAGAAGTGATTATTACATACTATTCATTAGTTAGGAAGACTTGCATGCACCAGTTGCACCTGCTAAGAATAGTTTAGACACAGCAAAGGTTTGGGTGGGTTTTGCATGGGCATCATCATATAGCTCAGGAGGAGACCAGACAGGTGGTGTTTCAGTTTGCCCCAGTGACAAAGACTTAAAGTCAGCCCTAACGAATGTGCTTGATAGAAAACCAAACCAGTGATCAGAGCACTCTCTCCATAGGACCAGAGACAACCAGTGCCATTTCCAGTGAATAGCTCCCAAATCTCATTTTTTTATAACCATAACTGAATGGATATCTCTGACCCACTGAAGAGTGAGAGATTCCAGCTTCCATCAAAAAATCCCTTAATTTCAAAGAGAAAAGCTTGGCTTTTGTTTTGTAAATATCCAACACAGAACATGCTAGGTATTAATATTTCTACCCTTACAAAAAATGGAACCAAACGAGATTCAGCTGAAGAAGTGTGAAAGACAAATTCACTTAGAAAGAAGGAGCTGTGTTGTCTATTTCAAAATAACTGATGGAAGAAGGCTGGAAGAAGGCTGGCCAAGCTGCCAATGCTGTGTTTGAGAAGGTCAGATTTGAACAAGTTTGTTGCAGTTGGTTTGCTTTTAGTTACTTAAAATACAGGGAAAAATTGGACAAGTGAAATATGATTTAAAGAACATTTTAGCAAAATCAGGATATTTTACTTGCTAACATGAACAGTAGATGTCCTTCTTACCCTGAGACAGCTCTTCAACAGTTGTGCCAACCTTGGGTTTCCCACCTGGGGAAAGGGTACTCACATTTGACTTGTCAAAAGGACAAGGTTCCTTGTCATAGTCATGACTGATATTCAGTTTTTGTGAGCCCAGTTCACTTAAAATGGAAGGAACAGTGTTTCCGTCTAATTCAACTTCATCTCTCAGGGTGTTTTGAGGCTTAGTCCCAGGCAGAAAGGTAAGATTTGTTTAAAGCATTTTGGAATATAACCCCTTCTCTAAGACATTGCTGTTTCAGATGCATAAATAACAAATTTTGTCTTTTATCAGCATAGTCTGTATCCTGTAACACTGGCAAGATGTGATTAATGAAGGTAATTGTACACAATGCAGATCAGTAGTTTACAAAACAACTTAAAACAGAATGACAAGTTCTTAGATCAGCATAGTGAGAGAACTGCAGCTTTTAACTATTCTTAAAAAGCCAATATCCACCTTTCTTTACTTACAGGCTTGCACACCATGTCCCCCCTCAATGAAGAGTTAAAACAGCTCCAGTGTAAAATACTTACTGACAATGTGCTGCTGTCAAAACCCATTGCTTTCCCCGCAAGAGCTCCTCCACAATTAGTTAAATTCTTTGACTGGATAGCAGCCATATAAGGCCAGGAATGAGGATGCATGACACATCCTCCGATAATGCCTGTGCAGTCATCTAAAATGCAACAGAAGTGCAATTATGTTACATGTTATTCATAGGAATTAAGAATTTAGATATTTTTATCCTTAGATGAGTACTTACATCTCAGGGGCAGGCTAACAGCAGTTAGAGAGAGCAGGAGAGCCAACAGGTGGCTTGTCATAGCTGCTGCTATTTAATGACAAGAGAATTGTAAACCACGGTAGTTTTTTTTTAATTTAAATGTCCCCTACAGGAAATTGTGGTTGAAAGGTTTTATGAAGTCTGTCTTGAAGTTTCCATATACACAATTAATACTGTATTATTTAACTGCAGCTTGGTTTCTTTCGGTTCTTTCTTCAAGTTTCTTTAAAACCTGCCTGTTTCTTGAATCCCTGACATGTGTCAATATTAATTAGTCCAAGTCTTACAGCAACTTCAGCAGTCCTTCACCACAGGTATTGTATTAAAAAAACAAGTGCATGAAAAGATTCCTGAGCATTACATGGGATGAATGTATAATAAAACCTATGTCAGAGAGCTCAACACAATTTTGACTTTAAAAGAAAAAAAAAAAAGAAAATATGTTAAAAGAATTAAACTGGCCATATGGCCATATTCGAGCTGGTGAAAAAATGAGACAACAAATACAAGGGCTACCCAAAAAGGTGTCACAAAACGCCAGTGAGAGAGAAAACTCAAGAGTACAAAAAGATATTTCCAAACTGTGGACCAAGAAACATCACCAGCCAACAAATCCTCTGAGGAATTACACTGCCCAGGTAAAGTTTTCAGTTGAAAGACTGAAAGATTCATACATTAATTTTATGAAAGCCACTGAGAATTGACTTGTATCTGCTCTCTCATATAAGCTTTGGAACACCTGACACAAAAGACAAGCTACACACATGGTGGGCAGAGCAATTTGTATTTTCTTAGCAATAATTTTTGAGGGTGCAGGATTCAGATGCAGAAAAACCTAGAGCGTGCAAGTGTCAAATGCAAGCAAAACACATCATCAGTGATCACAAGAATATCAGAGACACTGGTGGGAGATGCATTTCTGTACTGAAAACCTCTGTGTCTGTGCCCACGTTTTGCACGTGAAGAACTTAAAAACCCTGTTATCATCTTAAGTACCTTTAGAAAGAACCAGAAATGAAATGTAACTTGCCTAATATAGCTAGCTCTCATTTTTATTTGAGAGTTAGACAACAGCAACCTCCAGGTAGTTGAATGAGATTGTAGCATTGAAATGCTTGTTTCTGTAGCATGGAATTTTACAGCTATAACCCAGTTTGAAAACGTGTACATGACGCCTCAAAGATGGGCTAGAAATAGAAGCTGGGTAGCCTTGTTCTTTTACTCACACTGGCTATGCTTCATGGGCACTGCAAGGGAGAAAGGACGGAGCCTTTTGCTCACGTATGTCAGTCTTCTTGAAGACCAATTACTTATGCAGCAGAGAAGCTAATAAAAGAATTTGACCATGCACTCAAATAGGGAAGGAAGTTTTGCTTTGAGGTTTCCCTTTACATGTAATAGGCCAATAAAATCTAAACATGAGCATAAATTTATTGCCATAACTAAAGGAGCCCATCCAACTTGTTGCACATCCTAAATTTGATGTTGATTTTTCAGCATCATCTACATAATTTATAAGCTGAAGAGAACACTCCAACAAAATCTTTTGGGTACAAAACTAGAGGCTGACTACGTGTGTATCACTCTGATCTTTAAAAGTTGTGCAAACAATGTTAGGACTATGTGATAGTCAGAGCTGTTGCTCAGAAGAGGCTTGCACAGAAAGCAATCAGTTGTTATTAAACAGTAGGTTAGACTGCATATTGCTAATTCTAATTATCAGTGTAAAGGGGATCTTTCGAGATTAGAAGCATTTAAATGGCATGGGTATGTTAATACCTGTGGAGTTGCAGAAAAATATCTTTGGAAGTAAGTAGGATTTTGAAGGAGTGCATCTAGATATTGAAAAAAATGTTAACAGGCTATAGAAGACTTGGGTTTAGATGGTAGTCACAGATTTATTTTATTTGCCTGGAAAACATTTAGGAACACTTGCTAATGTTTTATTCTGTGACTCACAAATAGGTTTTTCTTGAAAATAGATCAGGTAAACGTAGGATGATACGTACCAAACCTCTTTTCACTAGACATGGCACTTCATATAGGAATATGCAAGGATGCCATTGTAGTATTACAAGTTTAAGCAGGTCTCATTGTACTGGATTTTTTCGCACAAGTGCTCATTCAAATCATGTCTATCCATAGTTCAGAGAGGAACCAGCTTCAATATGGTAATACTGCTAATTAAAATGTCATAATGGCAACTATTTATAAGTGATAGATGAAAGAACAGTACCTGTGGTACCTGGTGATACTGTGTTTGGGAGAACATTGGAAAAAAAACACATTAGCACTACAAACTGCCGATAGTTGCAGGGGATGTGCAGGTAATGACAAGGAAAATGAAATAAAACTAAAAGCTGGGTGTGGTTTTGCAGTGCATGGAGCTGTTGCCATGTCACATAGGTGATGGTGTCTCTCACAAACCACATCAGTGACAAAGAGATTTGTGATCTCTAAAAATTGCTCCACAACTGCCTTCTTCAGAGAAATCACCAGAAATTACCCTCTGTCCAGAAGGCAGGGCAACTGCAAATTTGAGCCAGCTGTCGGTCCAACAAGCTTTCTGCAGGCTGAATGTAGTGGGGCTCAAGTCTTCAAGAAACCTTCCAAGCTGTGTGGTAGTGACACTTCACTGAATGTACCTAGTTAGTTCATAGAATATTTTATATTAACTGACACTTTAAGACACTTTACATGGTATTATACCCTTAGCTCTAGGCCACTAAATCACACTCAGTGATGTATGAATGCTCATCCAATGCAAATCTAATGAGGTAGGATCAAATATTGAAAGGAGCAAACATCAGATTCCTTGGCTCTGAGGGGCTCTTGAACAGCTCAAACTCTCTGATGGGGAACAAGCTGGGATTCAGCTGGGATGAGCTGACCTGGAGGCCACCTGGGATGTCTAGAATGAAATTATATGTCTTCATGTGGGCAACTGAATCAAGCCTAAACTTATATGAGCTGAGTCCTGCTGTGTACATGGACACATAGTGGTTTGCAAGGTTTCACCCTAGTACTCTTATATTAGTACATACTACTGAGAGAACATGAAGGAGGGCAGATCCTGTCTGCACACCACAACAGATGACGCAACTTTTCACTAACACCTCTGCTATACGCTACATTGTTAGGGAGGTTTTTTGCCTTTGTCGCAGTTACAAATGTCAAATATCCTTAAGAGGAAAAACAAAACCCACATCCTTTTCATTTAGATATATATATGAAACAGTGATAAAGGGCAAACACCAGACAGAAATCATGGGAGCTTTCCTGACTTTGTCCACCTTTGCTACTTTCATTCTCCTGATAATTCATGGAGGTAAGTTCCCAATTCAAGCCTGTTGAAGGTAGATGTTGATGTACAGAGTTCCAGTTAAGGCAACATGTATTAATACAAAGGAAGCAGTCACAATTATTATTTGTGGTTTTATTATAAGCTCTTTTCCACTGTCTGCATGTGTTTGATCTTTCATACAAACAGTAATTTCTAAATAGGAACTATTAATTAAAGTTGCACAGAGGACAGGCTATTTGAAGCAGTTCTAAGGAGTTAACATAATGATTATCTGACCTTTCTTTCCAGAGGCATACACGTGTGTTAATGTCTTGATTTTCTGTTTCCTGAAAAACAGGTTTATGTAATGTGACTTACACCATATTGCTCAGCTTCCAGGTGTCCGCATAAGGCACATATTGTACAACATTTATAATTTGGCAGGTCTGAGTTTGTTAGTCACGATGAAAGCTAAGAAGCTAACCATAGCAAGAAGACAAATCTGTGCAAGAGCAACAATACTTTGGTGTTTTTCTTGTCAAATCTCGCCCCACTGATCTTATTTCGGTCCTGTTTAAACATACAATAGTACTCCTGAGCAATTTTAAAACTCTACCCTGAAGACCAGCATTGTGACATATGTACATACTTTTATGTCTGTGTATTTTGTAGTTACATTAACTGTTTTTTCTAAGAGACTTTGAGTGTCTCGCAGTATTTGTTAGCCCAGCTCTGTGTATTGTTACTTATTTTCATTTTTAGGTTTGTGTGTGGATATCATTGGAGGAGCTGAAGTAACACCACACTCAAGACCATTTATGGCGCTAATCAAAGGAGCTAAAGGAAAATCTATTTGTGGAGGAGCTTTGATCAAAGAAAACTGGGTGTTAACAGCTGCCCACTGTAATGTGTAAGTTCTTACTCTGATTTGGATCTTGTCCATAGTGAGTAACTGGTGTCTCTGTTCAAGAAGGAAAGTTAATATCCCTGGTGGTTTTGTGCATTTAGCATAGTCATGATCATGTTTTGATTATTGTGTTTTATTATTTATAATGACAAATTTGCTTTAGTGAGTAAAAATATATATAACAAGGTATACTGATCTTCACTTCTTCTGAAGAGATATTTTACAAGCTTCTAGCTGCACGCAAGTCCAGAATAGCAACAATGAAGTATTGGGGGAATAGAATTTGGGGGAAAGGTTTATCCATGTTTTCTCAGTCAATCAGTGCACTAGGCCAGAGGACTGGCCAGTCTAAATAACTGCTCAGAAAACAGAAATAAAGTCTTGTCATTTTGTTCTGTAAAAGATATGCAGCTCACTAGAGAAAGAGACAGCACACAGTTACACGGAGCAAAAATCCTCCAGACAGATGACAGGAGGCACTGAGAGATCTCTGCTCTACTGGATACGTTGGCTTGTCAGCCAAACTTTATTATTCCTGTCTGACTCAATGCAAATGGCTATTTGGCCCTGCAGACTCCCTCATGAGGCAAGATGAGGTTTAAATGACACATCCGTCCCTTTTGTGGGGAGAACTGTATCTGCTGCTGAGCCAGACCTCACACAGACTCTGTCAATGGCCTGCCCGGGACCACTGAATCACTGGACTCTGCAGACATCAGAGAAATGTATCCATCTCTCCTGTCCCTGTCCAAACAGGGAGATATAAGGGACCTACTGCAAAGAGAGCATAGGGCCCAAAAGCTGTCATATTAACATAAAGAGTGTTTCCAAATAAGATTGCATTTAAGAG